GAGATGGAGGTTCAAGTTGATGTTCTTTTTAACTTTAAGATTCTTTACTTCTATGATCCTCAAGATAGCTTAAGGCTTAATAACCAAATCTCTTGACTCTGCCCCTCCGAAAGTGTGCCTCTCCTCCATCACTATTCAATTCCACCCTTTATCCAGTTGTCCAAGCCACAACCTAGGTGTCATCCGTGACACCTCCATCTCTATCATTCCACACTAGTGCAGTGAATCCATTTGTGATTTTGCTTACCAAATATCTTATAAATCATCCACACTTTTCTACTCCCTAGTTCAGGCCAACGTCATTTCTCATGTGGGTGACAGTAGTAACCTCTTCACTGGCTTCCTAGCCTCCAATCACACACACCCTTTCCCTCTTTGCGGCAGACACCCAAGTCATCTTCCACCTGTGATCAGAGTCTTTCCTGAATACAAAGGGAGAATGTGACTTCCCAGCTTCAAGTCCTTCAGTGATTTCCTACAGAACCATAGGTTAATGTCCAGACTTCCAGTTGGTCATCAGACCTCTACATTGTAGCTCTGGCCCAGCTAGGCAGCCCATCCTTTGCCACTCCCTGCTCTTCTCCTCAAAGTCAGAATTTCTATCCAGCCATCCTGGGCTTCCCTCATTTCCTCAAATGGGGTAGACCCGTCACTGCACCTTGGGCATGGGCACAAGGCTGTTACTTCCATTGGAGGGACCCTTCCTCTCTCACGTGACTAACTTACACCATTAGCTTGTATCCCTGTTTAGATATTCCTTCCTCCTCCCTGACAGTATAGCTCTGCCTCAATGCAAATTAGTTGCCCCTCCCACATGTCCCCAGAGCCCCAACAACATCCGTCTTTGTCATTGTTGCTGGGTGCCGTGGAGTGGATTCCAACTCACGATGACACCATATGACAGAGTAGAACTGCCCCATAGGGTTTTCTAGGCTGTAATCTTTATGGATGCAGATCACCAGGTCTTTCTCCCTCAGAGCCACTGGGTGGGTTCAAACCACCAACGTTTTGGTTAGCAACGGAGCACTTAACCATTGCACCACCAGGCTATTTACTCCAAGTTATTTATTAGTCTATAGTAGCAACCACAAACTTTTTCCATAAAGGGCAAGATAGTAAATATTTTAGGCTTTGAAGGTCATAAGGTCTCTGTTGTAACTACTCAACTATGCCATTATAGCAAAAAAGCCATCGACATTGCAAAATGAATGAGCACGGCTGTGTCCTAACAGAATTTTCTTTACAAAAGCAAGCAGCAGGCCATCAGCCTATGGGCTGTGATGCTAAACGAAGGAGCCCTGGTGGCCCAATGGTTAAGCACTCGGCTGCTAACTGAAAGGTCGGCGGTTCGAACCCACCATTGGCTCTGCAGGCGAAAAGACCTGGCGATCTGCTCCCATAAAGATTACAGCCTAGGAGACTTTATAGGGTAGTTCTACCCTGTCCTATAGGGTTGCTATGAGTTGGAATTGACTGGACAGCACACAGCAGCAATATGATACTAAACAGGTTTCAGCAGAACTTCTAGACTGACATGGACTAGGAAGGAAGGCTTGGAAATCTACTTCCAAAGATCAGCCAAAGGAAGCCCTATGGAGCATAACGGTGTAATCCTTTTGGCATCGGTCACCACAAGGGAGGGGCCAACTTGACAGCAACACCACCACCAAGTCTACAGCAAAAGCAAAGAGTATTTCAAGAGGTGGTGTTCAAATCTCGTTCTGCCGAGCCCCTGGGGCTGAAGGGGTGGCTCGACCTGGGCAGAACCCATTCCCTTTACCAGGTATCAGAGCAAAGCAACTTCTTGCTTTTCTTGTTGTCACACTGGAACTCTCTAAAATTGCACTTGAATAGATTCCACACGTGTTTAAAAGATTGAAAATGACTGCTCTATTATAAAAATAAAGAGTACTATATTTTCCCTAAAAATGTTTTGGGGTAAGTTTTTTTTAAAATAAGAACTTTAAGTTTATGGTAATGCATTTTCTTCTAAATTCACTATTTCCCACAAAGAAAAGCAAACCATGTAGTGTGCATTGCATTTAGCATAGAAAGTTAACACTGGGCCACAGACCACAGAGAACGGAGAGAGGGGAATAGTGGCTCACTCAATACAGCCCATGCACGCAGGCCGTGGCTACGGCTCCCTCCTTGGAGTGTTGCAGATGGTATCTGCAACAGCTCAAAAAGGACTATGGAAACTCAGTTATCTAGAGTCCAAATCCTAATGTCCAAAACTCAATTGGTGTAATACTCACACTCTCTTCACCACTACCCCCTTACCAAAGCCTGGGCCCCAAAGGTGTAAAACACCATTTGGAGCCACCAAAAGACAGAGCCACTGTGTGGACACCCCATTGCATGGTTTGGAAATGTTTCTATGTTCTTGTTGGATTTCAAATATTTTCTTAAAATCTGTAGCATCATTTGAATGCCGTTACGTACCATGAATTAGTAATTCCTCTACCCAATGGGTAGAAGTTATAAAACCACCTGCATTTTAATAATAAATCTCGTCTTCACTGCAGCCAATTTTGCCTTGCTCTCGGCAGATGGAGCCGTGCACCAGGAGGGCATTGGGTAGGTGGCACAGCGCCCGGCAGAGAGCCTCGGGTGTGGGCTTTTGTTTTGTTGCCTTCTTAGTGGCTCTATTTCACAGATCACTGCCAGCTCAGTTAGTAGATATAGCCTGAAGTGCCAAGGGAAAATGACTTTTTATTACTCAAGAGTAGTGGAGAATGAGGTAAGACGTGTTTTTAGATGTTAAAAGATCCATCCAACCCTAGAATACTGTCATTAGTGACTCTGTATCAGACAAGGAAAGTGCTGAGAGTTATTTTCATACTGACTTACCGAGTTGCCATTCACCTGAAGTTTGCTAAAAGAAGACAACTTAATAGCCTAGATGTGTCCACTGATTGGTACGTACTTCTGAGAATTATTTTTAGGTGTGATATGGAAAAACATTTGTTTGCGAGTGATATGTATGTATATATGCATACACAAGCAAGCGTGTGTGTATATATGTGTGTATATGTATACACACATACGTGTGTGTGTGTATATTTGTGTATGTGTGTCTATGTATACATGTGTGTGCTCGGCTACTAACCAAAAGGTTGGCAGTTTGAATCCACCCAGAGGCACGTTGGAAGAAAGGCCTAATGATCTACTTTTATAAAATCGGCCATTGAAAACAATATGGAGTACAGTTCTACTCTGACACATATGGGGTCACCGTGAGTCAGAGTTAATTCGACACCAACTGCCTTGGTTTGTTTTTTTGGTATAGATAGACACACACACACACCTACTTACATACACATATATACGTGTGTATATATGTATGTGTGTATGGAGCCCTGGTGGCACAGTGGTTAAAGTGATCAAGTGCTAACCGAAAGGTCGGCAGTTTGAAACCACCAGTGGCTCTGTGGGAGAGAGATGTGGTAATCTGCTTCCATGGAGATTTACAGCTTTGGAAACCCTATGGGGTCACTATGAGTTGGAGTAGGCTCCACGGCAGTGGGTTTGATTTAGGTATATATACGTATATATATATATATATATATATATATTTTTTTTTTTTTTTTGGCTAAAAGACCTTTATGCACAAAAGGGCAATATGGATTCCTTAAGTAAGAGAAATTTTGTAATTCTATAAGAATTTTTAAAGGAAATTCTCAAGGCACTAAAACAATTTCTTGTGAGCTTTGTAACTGAACTGACAACTCACGTCACTACCAGTGAGCTGCGGGCTCTGGCCCTCCTGGCCCACGGAAGGAGGTTCCTCAGAGAGGGCTTCATCTGTCTCTGTGAGCCAATGTCTCTAAACCCCCTCCTGATATCAAGACTCGGGGCTCCTGATCCAGCTGCTGTTAGAACTCACAGACCACATCATTATTTCTATGCCCCCAAAAATTTACTGTCTGAAAATCAGGATTGAGAGTTTGGGGTTAAATTCTTTGAATCCTTTTATTTTTTTCCTACAAATAAATAAGATGTGTGCATGTGGGTAAATTCTTCTGCAATAAAGAAATCAAGTTCTTATGGGTGAATATTACCCACAGTGGGAATTACGGTCTTCTGATCTATTACTAAATTGTATTTGTAAGTTATAGTTTCTTGGACACAACACAAAATTTCAATTAGTGTTAAATTTACAACAGACTCAATCCACAAAGTATTCTGTAAAGAATGACATTTCACGAGTTTCACCATGTACGAATGTGTGAGGGTTTTGAGAATTTGTTCATTTGTTCAACATAAGTGTATCATGTACCTATTACAGGGAAGGTACTGAGTTAGGCACACCATGTCAATAAATTGTTTTTAACCTCTTAACAGTTAAGCCATCTCTCCTTTCTAGCCAAAATAACCAAGAGTTAGATAGCATGACTAGTAAGATAACTTGAATAAAGTTGCAGTGTTTCAAAAGTTTGCGTTTCTTGACTTCCTCAGTGACCCGGTACTGTGCTCAGTTGGAACAGTAACCAGGTTCTTTCCACTCTTGATCGGGCTGACGTGATCACTAATCCTCGAGGCCTCAACCTTTCTCAAAGGAAGAGTTCTTTTTCATTATCCCTGCAGATCAAGTAGTGTGGGGTAGATCCAGCTAACCAAAAAAGACTTTGATTTCTGGTCCTCAATCATCAATTATCTTTTTAGAATATTTTAATCTGTTTTAATCACTAGCAAAAATATGCATATTTATACCTGTCAATTCTTACAGCAGCATTAATCATATTCTATAAGAATTGAGTAGCTTGGAGGCATACAGAAAGGAAATTCCTAAGAGAGTATCTTCCAAGAACGCATTATCATTTAAAGTTTAAAATTAAAGATGTCATTTTCTTATCTTCAATGTAAATATAATGATTCCATGTGAAATAGATAACAGGAAGAGAGGAGAAAGAAGAATGTGCTCTGTTCATTCGTTTTTCATCCACTATCAGAACAACAAAAACAGCCCTGTCAGAATGACGTAGGATCTCTCTTACCTGTCCATGATGCCGCAGGAGTCCACCTGGAGGTCACGGAAGCTCCCTAGCGCCCCCTGCTGTACGGAGAGGAAATCCACCTCTTTACCGCCGATGGAGAGGAGTCTCAGGCAGCCCTGAAAGCCCAGCAGGGGGCGCTCACATCCAGAGCCAGAGCTGTTGTCAGGACAGCCTGAGGGGGTGACATACAAAGAGGAGAACAACCATCAGGACAAATCAACACAGATACCGCATGGTGTCTATTACACGAATGACAGCTCTTTCCCTGTTTACGGAAACCTCAGGATTAGACTTCTGAAACCATTTGGGAAGGTCACACTACTCAAGGATTGGGGGTTGGGGGAGCAAGAACAAAACTTGTTGGTATTGGCAGAACATAAAAATAACAACCGGACTCGGGCTTATGGAAACACGAGGGAAAGGTAAGATGCAAAATCCTACATCTAGAGTTACTGCAAATTTAATTTAAGCAAAACTTGATTTTTTTTTGGAAAGCATACTTAAGAAACACAGGCAGTCACCGGGTTACCAACTTCTCACTTACGTACAACCCATAGTTATAAACCAACCCCCATAAAGCCGATTGTATTAAAAATTGTAATAACAAACCGATGCTACTTTGCGACACGCATCAAATTATTATTATTACTGTATTATTACGTTAAAGATGGTTTAGTGTTTTTTATGCCAGAAAGATACACTAGTGGTTAAGAGCTACAGCTGCTAACCAGAAGGTTGGCAGTTCAAATTCAACAGCCGCTCTCTGGAAACCCTATGGGGCAGTTCTACACTGCCCTGTAGGGTCGCTATGAGTCAGAATCAACTCGACGGCAGCGGGTTTGTTTTTTTTTGGTTAAGACAACCATTTGACTAAGTGACTTTAGATATGAACTGTATCTAACTGTTCCAACTTAACGTACATATTCGACACAAAGACAGACTTGGGAACGGAACTCATTTGTAATCGGAGGCTATGATGCTATGTATGTAAGATAAACTAAAAAGTATGTGATAGTAGGATAAGAAAAAAATTGCAGGCATATTATATTTACCAAAAAGCAGCAAACCAGCAGCCGTGGAGTTGATTCTGATTCATGGCAAACCCGTGTGTGTCAGAACAGGGTTTTCAAATGGCTGATAGTTTAGAAGTAGATCTCCAAGCCTTTCTTTGGAGGCACCTCTGGGTGGACTTGAACCACCAACGTTTTGGTTAGTAGCCCAGCACTTAACCATCTGCAGCATCAGGGATTCCATATGATATTTAAGACTAATTTTTTTTTTTTTTTTTAAAGATTGAAGTTGTCAAAGATTTGTTTTTACTTGGATCCACAATCAATCTCCATGGAAGCAGCAGTCAAGATGTATCAAAGGATGTATTGCATTGGGTAAATCTGCTGCAAAAGACCTCTTTAAAGTGTTAAAAAGGAAAGATCGCTGAGGACTAAGGTGTGCCTGACCCATCCATTGCTGTCAATTCGATTCCAACTCACAACTACCCTATAGGACAGAGTAGAACTGCCCCATACAGTTTCCAAGGAGCACCTGGTGGATTCCAACTGCTGAACTTTTGGTTAGCAGCTGTAGCTGTCAACCACCACACCGCCAGGGTTTCCTGCCTGACTCAAAATATGGTATTTTCTTTTTTTTAATTTTTTCCCGTAACAAAAATTTATACATACATTGTTACGTGACTCTAA